GTGGGCTCCAGCTGGGCACTGCTTACCTCAGGTGGCTCCTGGGTGGTGGTGCAGTGGGGCTAAGGCAGGCTCACCCCTGCCCAGGCCCTGCACCACTCCCACAAGCAGTCAGCAAACTCCCTCCCAAGTCCTGTTGTGCCCCGTCCCGTGCTGCTCCCAAAGGTGGGAGGGGGACCACCTTGACATCAGTGCCCCTCTTCTCCCTCTCCTGCCCTTCACAGTAAGCAGGAAGCTCCCGAGGGTGTGGGAGGCAGCTCCAAGTCAAAGGGCAGGGGGTGTACAGCAATAGGTGGAGGGGCAACTGAAGTGCTGGCACTTGAGAGCCTTTTGGCCAAACCAGTCAGGATCCCCTGTCAGAGACTCCAAGATCTACCAGGAGATCCTGATCTACTGGTTGGTGACCACTGTTCTAAAGACTGTGTGGTCTAAGACATTCTAGTCATACCCTTCTTATTAAAAAAAAAAACCCTATACATTATATACTCATATAGATATAATACAAGCTATTTTTGTATAGCGTCTTTCACATAAACCAAATCCAAAACTGGCAGATGCAGACACTATCTCAGAAGCATAGAAATACATCTGCTCTCCCTTGCCTATTTGATTCTTGAGTCAGTATGGAAGAAAACCCAAACTATTTCAGATAGACCATAGAGAGGAGAAAGATCTCACAACACGTGAAATATTTTATGGCAACACTATGTATTCTGGTATAAAGATAAAGTTTCATGCACCTCAGATATTTAAGATTAAGGATGTTAAGAGGTCAGTAATTGACAATTTGTATAGACTACATGATTAGTTGATACGGGAAGGCTCTCTGTAGCGGCTCGTGCCGGTCCCAGAGCTACCCCTCTGCAGCTCTGCAGTTTAAATGTAGTAGGAGCCAGGTGTGACCCCAACTGGCATGAGCTAGGATAGAGCTGGGACCACTGCAGCTCTGCATTTTAAATGTAGTAAGAGCCAGGTGGCTCCTATTACATTTAAAATGCAGAGCTGCAGCGGTCCTGGACCAGCATGAACCGGGACTGAGCCAGGTTTGCTCAGTCCCGGCTCATGCCAGGTCCAGCAACCCCTGCCAGACGCCAGCCCTGGCTGCCACGAACAAAGGCTGCTTGGGCAGCAGCCCCTGTTTGCGGAGGCCCAGGCTGGCCACAGGCAGAGACTGCTTCATGGCAGCCTCCCCTACCCTCCCTGCTGCTGCCTCTGATAGAGGCAGCAGAGATGGTGCTGGGGGCTCTGAAACAGAGGCAGCAAGGGGGAGGGGAGACTGAGTAGCCGACTCGACTACCTGATAAGTTTGGGCTTACTTGCTTACATCCCCTATTTAAGACTGATCGGATTTAATTAATCAGATGATCACTAGTGGCTTGATTAACTTGTAATAACAACTTAGATTTGTTCAGCTAAACCAATAATATGAATTCATTCTCTTAGGCAGAATTGCAATCCAGTCACATACTTTGCACATTGCATTTAGACTCCTTTTATTTTCTGAAGCATCAAATTACAACCTATTGGCTAGCACTGTACTAGCTGACATTCCTGCCCCCAGACACTCCTGTTCTTGAACTTACAAAGCAACCATAACACATGCATGTCTACTCCACATATAATCTTGCCATTTCTTTCTATTTCTGTAGCTTACTTGGGTTGCTTGGAGGAAGAGAGCTGTCATCCAAAGAACTGTTCCCACTTTTCTGACGGAGCTGCTCTTCATCACTGGAGCCTGTTACTAGCAAGTCAGAAAATGACATCTGACTTGGCCCATCTTGTGCAAAGTACTGGGAAAGCTCTGTTTCAGAACTGACAGATCCCTGCTGAAATGAAAATAAATAAATAAAACTAGTGATTGGTGCTTATTTATGTGAACAGCACCCAAACATCGCTAACTTCGGCCTCAACATATTGGTAACTACAGCAAAGCTTAATATCCCAGTTCTACAAATGGGTATGGAGCCACAGTTAGATAAAGGCCAACATTTTCAAGTTTAGGTTGCTGAAGTTAGGTATCTGAAACCACATTTCAGCACCAAAAGGGCACTGATTTTCAGACATGTAAAGACAGGTATTCAGCACAGCAATTAGGGGTAAACCACTCACCTTTATGAGTCCCTTTAAGTCCCTCCTTTATTGAGAGACTAGAGGTCCTTGTACTCCCTCCCTGGGACTGACTGTATTCCCTACTTGGCATTCCCAGGGAAAAAAATTTCCACCACTATTACAACATACAGAAACCAGTTAGTCATTTATTAGCAGATTCCGTATTTCAAAGCCCACACTCCATTCGCCACCTCAATGCCAATATGAACACATCATTGAGCAGGGCTCATTTTTTACAAGACTGAAATCAAACCACAGCCCATGACAAAGAAGTGGGGTTCTGATAAGTGACGGAGGTCTCATTCGGGTGACAGCCTTCCAGGCCAGCCCCACTGCAGATCACTCCTACAAGCATCTGCCGAACAGACCTAAATGAGAGCTTTGTTATTGCTGACCATGGCTGTGCAGCAGCGGTATGGCTTAACTAACGGAACGCCTTAGAATGACACAGGGGTGATATGGAAGAAGCACAGATATTTTGTTCTGAGCTATCTGATTCTCTGGTAAAAGCATATCCTAAAACATCATCTCTTTGTGTTGCATTTTAATTTGTTTACCCGACTTGCTGGCTCCAGGAATCGTTTCATTGTCCAGCTCAGGGGTGATGAGGCCTCTCCCTGTTTGGCCTTCACACTAGGGGATGGACTTTTCTGCAGAACCCCTGTTAAACATGAGTCAATTAGAGATCAAAAAATTAAAGCTACAGAATATGTACACAAACAAGCAGAGCACTAGTCTGTCTAGATATTTAGACAGTGCTCATCACCATATCATCTAAGTCCCTTTAAAAACAAGTTTTATTTAATTTAACAAGTCTCTAATACATCTCAAGTTTCTCTCCATCTTCCAGGTAAGGTGCTATTTAGTTACTTAGCTTACACAAGCCAGGAATCTGAATCACAATTTATCGTAAAAGATCACATCCCGGCTGCTTCCAGCCATACTGTAGGATTGGAGAGTGGAGGTCATCAGCAAATGTTTGCTCCAAAATGGCTCCACCTCTCTTCACAGAAAGCCATTTTGGTGTAAATAAGCTTCATTTAAAAAACCTTAACATTTCTCTTTGAAAACCAGATAGTTGGTCTTCCCTCCAATGTGAAGCAAAAAGGGGAATTATGTGATTAGAGTTCATATATTTTCCTACAAGTTCATTGTCATTGGTATAATTTTAGAAACAGCTAATGTCACTTTCAAACACTGATGGACTATCCCAACTTCACTCAACTGAGTGGCAATGGGGAACATCGACCAGCAGTCTAATGGCCATATCTAATTTGTTAAAAATGAATTAGAACATTGCAGCATGTCTTTAACGTGGACTGTGCAAACTACCAGTCCCAGAATGCAACACACTGACCTGATCCTTTAGATCAGGATAGAAGAGTAACCTCCCCACGCTCTGACGTTATGGTGATTGGTGCCATGGAGATTTCACACAGTGCTAAAGAAATGGGCTATGTAAATATTTTTAATTAATACTGTTTTCTGGAACATTTCTCAACAGGAGTTTAAAGTAGTTATGACTGCAAAAATCCCAATAGCACAAGAGCAAATATTGCCATATATGAAAAATAATGGACAGATCTGACAACATAGAAAAGGAACATGTTGCTACCTATGACATGAGGGGAATAAGCATCTTTGCTCTCTCGATGCGTGGTGCATGCTATTGCTTCATCCATCTCCTGTTCAGAAACCTAATTTTTATAGAAAAGAGATTATGTGAGTTTGCTGTAGAACATAAGAAGCTAAAATCAGAGTCTGAGCACTGATCCTCACAATTACATTATTCAGTCAAGATTTACTCTTGTTTTAGAGGTGTGAGCAAAGAAACGTGATCCAAGAGCTCCCAAGTTCTGATCCTAGTTCTGAATCAGGCTCCCTCTGTGACCCTGAGCTGGTCTCTTTAACAGGTTTTCCTCATACCTCTTCTACAGTCAGCCTCCTACAAACTCAAAAATGTCTTTAGTGTCAGATTAAATTTACAAATATTAAATATAAAAGTTGCATCAGGCTTTCATAAAGCAAAGTTATGATGCCATGAATATTATCTAAGTAGCACGTAATCTTGATGTTCTATAGATATGTGCACAAAAATCTTAATCTTTAAAAATACTTATTAGCCATTTGTCTAAAATATTCCATCAGTAAAAGATAAGTTAAATACAAAACATGAAAAGGCCACACTTTCTGAAATATAAGCTGACTTTTCTCTTAACTACCCCTTTTACCAAACAAACAAACAAAAATACATATATACTCAATTGGTAATTAGTATCTGTAATATTTTCCACACACAAAAATATATTGTAGTGACATGCTGCATTTGAAATATCTGGATTATTCCAATACATTCACCCTCTAGAAAATTTTAGAAAACATTAGATGCCGTCTTAGAACTGGAACTGTTGGGAAGCAGGCATACAGAACAGCTCAAGTTTCTGTTTTCAGATATGCCCAATATGATTTCAATTCACTCAACTTTACATGAATTATAATAACTCAGCTCAAAGACAGGTCAGAAAGCTGAACCTCTTTGAACTAAGAAGAGCTGAATTATCCCTTACCAAACTCAGCAGTTTAAACATAAATTAAATGCCACATCCACTAACAATAACAAAAGAAAGAAAACCTTTGTGGTATTTTTCTTGGAAATACATAAAAATACCGACGCATGTATATTCAGTAACAAAACTCGCCGTGGAGCTTTTGCGTGATGAAGTGAGGGATTAAATATAAAAATGTATGAACCAAAACAACATGAACCTTAACAAAAATATCTTTGTTTCTAGACCATGCGATGGCATTGAAGCGGAGGAGTCTCACCCACGCTCCTAACATTTTCTGTAACAGGTCTTGAATGCCTTAAAAGCCCTGGATCTAGCCAGGGGAGGATTCCATGTAGCAGGAGGTGAGATGATATCCAAAGGCAAGCCCAACAAGTGGAGTGTGTGTGTGTGTGTGGGGAGGCTAAGTAGGGCCACAGGAGTGGGGCAATACTGGGCAGCGTTGTGTCTATACACAGCCATGCACAGAAGCTGTAACTTCAATAGTGTTCTGAATTATGCTGCAGATTATGAAGCAACCAGGATTTAGAGGACATAAAGGTGATGTGAAGCTGCTGGGGGCCCTCCCCAGCACCAGCTTGAGAGTTGTGGGCTACTGTCTCATCTGCAGTGTTTAGGGGGCATGTAAGGTCCCAGGAAGTTCCGACATTTTGTGGGACAGGGTGACAGGAAACAGATCGCTTGATGATTACTTGTTCTGTTCATTCCCATTGGGGCACCTGGCATTGGCCATGGTCAGAAGACAGGATACTGGGCTAGACTGAGCATTGGTCTGATCCAGTATGGCCATTCTTTTGTTATGAAGAATGGCTTTTTTGTGCAAGGAGAAATAAAAACAAAATACCAATTCCAGCAAGATCTCATTTTTCAGCTTTGTCTACATCAGGCGTGTCAAACTTACTCTGTGAAGAGGAACAAATGCAATTATCATCTGTGGGCTGGGGTATAAATCCACAGCTACCTGTATACCCTCTAGGTACTGCAGTTTCCCAGGGATATTAAGCATAGGAGAGTGAAAGATCTAGCGCAGAATATGGTCTTAATTTCAATATTTTCAAGTGTCACTAGTAAACCTGGGTGCCCAACCTAGGTCTGTCTGTCTTCACATTGTATTTCCCAGTCCCTATTACCAAGCATGAATCATTCCAACCCCAGCTTCTGGAGTGATCAGGAGCCAAGGAACAGTTGAAGGGCTGTTCAATACTCAATTGAAATGAATGAGGATTAGGTAAGGAGGAGAGTTTGCACTCCTTGGATAATTATTTTGGGGTATCCACAAGTTCATGTGTACAGTGTGCCTTCTAATACTGCAATGAATGAACTACAACACTGTCCAACACAATACATGGACTTGTTCTGAAGTTCTGCTGGTCTTACATTTTGGGCCCAACTCTAGCTCCCTGCCTCTTGCTCTACTCCTCTTCTCCAGTCATCAGAAGCCCTGGCTGTGATCATTCAATAGTCTTATGTGGACGCCCATTAGTGTCCATCATCTGTACATCTGAATTGCAAAAAAACAAATGCCACCTATGGAACTTGCATGACAAGTTTTTCCCAAACTACATATCATTACTGTCACCTCCAGGAAAAGAATGTCAAATCATTCTGGTCAATAAGGCAAACTAGAATTCAGAGCATTTGTGCCTCAAACAGGTTTCCATTTGTAGTTAGGGATTCAAAAAACAAAGCTTTCCTGCTCCCCTTAAAACAAGTATTTTCCAACTTCATTCCTATGCAGCCAACAAGGTTTTATATACCCATGAAATGTTTTGCATGGTAAAATAAAATAAGTTGTTATTCTATACTGTTTGGATAAAGGAGTATCTTTCATCACCAGTAGCAATTTGCTTGAAAATCATCACACTTTCAAAATGCAGAGATTTTAAAATCCCCCTAGCACAGATTCTGCAGAAGCAGTACATCACAGATTCATTTCTTCTACAGGAAAACTTGATATTTGGACAGGTTAACATTATAAAAAAGAGCTGGATCCATTATTATATTATCGTGTATTGACTCAATCTGTTGATATTTATCCATGACAGTCTGTTCAAATTCAATTTCACCCAACATGATTGTAACAACAAAGGTAACATGTACAGCATTTATGCTGTCAGCTTCAAATTCATACGTTTGTCACACAGTCCAACTGCAAGTAAATTAGTGAGCTTGACAACTGGAATATTTTACAGAAAAATAAGCCTGCCTAGTTAAAGCTACAACTAGTGGATAGTGTCAACGCAGCAAGAAAGGCCCAACACAACTATGGATTCAAAGATAAGAGACCATCATAATCATCTGGACTGACTCGTGTAACAAAAGCTTCAGAGGGGTAGCCGAGTTAGTCTGTAACAGGAAAAACTTAAAACATAACAAATAACCTGGTAGCACTTTAAAGACTAACATACTTTGTTAGCCTTTGAAGTGCTACCAGACTATTTGTTGTACTTTAAGTTTTTCATGTGTAACACTCCATGAAGTCACCTGGAGAGAAAATGCAAGAGTTCTCCATCACCTCTCCAAGGTTCACACCCAGATTGTGAGAACACAGGAAAGCAAGGTGCAGCTATCAGAAGCTGTTTTCTCCTCACCTTGGGATTGGGATGACGACTAATGATAAGGCTAACTGGACCCGGACCACATTCACTCAGAATGGCATAGGCTTCACTCAGTGCTGCATGGCGTAGACTCACTGAATCTGCCTCTAGGATCTGGTCACCGCGGCTAGAAAGAGAAATACAGCCGGTTAGCACATCTGTCTCTCATAAAACATTTGGGCTGTTGACTAGTGGCCAGACTCTTCAAAGACACATATCTGGAAGAGATTTGATTGGCAAAAACCAGTCCAGCTCTTGCTCCCATTGACGTGCCTGTTGACACTCCTTTGACTCCACTGGAAACTCTGGCAGGATCCAACGTTCCTTTTTGCATTTACTGATGATGTGATGCACCATATTTCATCAATGCATAATTCTGACTGCTCCAGACTAGAGTGACAGTGAATGTTTGGCTCCAGTGGTAGGTATCGTTTTCTGAGCACAGAAGCCAAACATTATATGCAGACAGGTTATTCCTCACCACCATCCTGAATTACTTAAACACCCAGCATCCTTTTAACAGAATTCATTTGGAGCTCGTGATGTGGTAGGAGTATATGAAACTGTTTCAGATTTGAACTAGAGAAAAATTAGGTGAGAGGCACCTCATTTTCACTTGAAATTGAGGTAAAGATGTTTGATGAAATGTCTCTTCTGTGACAGGACTGTAAATTATTAATATCAGTTTCTTAACTCTTGACAGCTTTTGGAATATCGACATCTGGAACCATTCAAAACAAGGATAACCATCTAGCAATATTACTGCATTTGCCATGATTATTAAAAACATCTTTAACATTTTCATACAATCCACTTTTAGTTTGAATCAGCTTTGATGATTAGTTGAAATGTAGTTTTCATAAGAAGTCTAGCTGCCAGGAACAAATTCAAATGGCAATTGATGGCAGGTAATAGATTTCAAGAGTCCCCACTCTGTTTGGGTTGAAAAAGTGAAAAGTGTGTGTGTTGTGCATTTCCCCCACTGCTATGATAGTTTGCATGTTTAGAGAGGCGTAACTAGGTTTGGATTAATTCCCCGCCCCCCACAAGCTCAGATAAGTAGGCTCTAGAGTCAAACCCTCTCTTGTTTTGCAAAGCCAGAATCTGACTTTTGTGAAACCAAAATCAAAACCACCTTCGCAGTTTTACCATATGGAATAAAAAACTGCTCACGAGACAAGAAAATGTCTCACAAAGAAACAAAAGTGAGCTAGAAAAGTGGGAGGTGTGCACAGATATAGTCAACCACTCACAGTGGTACACTCCCTACCACCAAGCTACTTTTAGCCAGTACAACATACCAGAATAAAACAGAGCCACCAGGTGCTCCCCTCACATCTCCCCTCAGGCTCTCTCGATTGGCTGTATGCCTCCCGTCCTACTAAGGAGTGGGGAGGAGGAGCTGGGAGTTCTTCTCCTTTTCCCATTGGGAAGGGCAGGGAAAAGAGGAGCAGAACCCCTTAAGCCCCACCCCTGTCAGAAGCACCGCAGAAGTGGGACAGGGCTGGCAGTTTTGTTCTTTCCCCACTGACCTTCACAAAAGGGAAAGGGGCAGAACTTCCCCCCAAAAGCCTGTACATGGCAGCAGGCAGCTCTGTAGAAGGGAAGTGGGAGGGGCTCCCAGATGCCATACTGCTCCCTGCCCCTCCTCCTAGCCCTGTCAGCCTGAGATGCAACATAGCTCCACGGAGTGGGGGGTGGGGGGAGAGGAGGAGGGGCAGTTCTGCTTCTTTCCCCACTGGGGGCGGGGGGGCTTAACTGCTAGCTCCACCCACTCCAACTCCTCATTCTCCTCATTGATGCTCCAGATCTGTGGAAGGGCGGGGGAAGCACTAGGTATTCTGCTCCAGCCTTTCCCTGCTCTCAGCCTTTCTGTGGAGCTGTCTCTGTGTACAGGTCTGGGTGGACAAGGCTCTT